TACTCAGGCTCCTGGAACTACGGCTTCGAAGTGGTGGGCATATACACGTGGCCCAGCGGCAACACCTACGAAGGCTACTGGTCCCAAGGCAAGAGGCACGGCCTAGGAATCGAGACCAAAGGACGGTGGGTTTACAGAGGCGAGTGGACCCATGGCTTTAAGGGACGGTACGGCGCGAGGCAGAGCATGAGCAGCGGAGCCAAGTACGAAGGTACCTGGAATAATGGCCTGCAGGATGGCTATGGCACCGAGACGTATGCCGACGGAGGTAAGGGTGACTGAACAGCATGAGACCCAGCCCGTGATGGCAGAGGCTGAGTGTTGTCCCTGCTGAAGGGGTGACCTGATCCTGTCCCCACTAGCGAGGTCCAGACAGGCACGATGGTCTATAATGAGCCATTGATGTGCTTCAGGCAAGAAGGAGGGCTTGAGGGGCAACCACCTCCTAAATGTCTGTATGTGCCCCGACTTTCACAGTCGGGCGCAGAGTGCACGGCTCGCCATCTGCGGACACGAGGGAGGAGCAGCGGGAGCGTTGCCCCCACCATCCCTCCCTCGGGAGCTGCTCTCGAGTGTCTGTATCAATAGTTAACATGAACCAACTTGATTTGTGTAGTCTGTGACTCCTGGTTCCCAAGGACTGGTTATCACAGCTCATCACTAAACCAAAACAGAAAGCCCTCGCTGGTGCGCAACCACGGCGAGCCCTTCACTTGCTCACTGGGCAGCGAATTGTGAATGTGTTCACATCGGATATAAGCCGCCCACGGCGTTGTAGCATGATTTGCCTATGCATTAAACACTGCTTGCTTGCCTCTGACGGGCTGCCTGGACGTCTGCTTTGCTGCACCATTTTGGTTGAGTTCATCTAAGCTGTTTAGAATACATGGTCACACGCCTTTCCCTAAAATAAATCCCTTCAATTACTTGGAAGCTCTCAAGCCCTACTAGTACACAAATGCACCATGTAGTCAGATATTTGTTGTGCTCTGTAAATGCTCAGTCTAATTGTGTTCTTGCATTAGTGGCAATTTTGGGGTTAGAAACATTGCAAGAATCTCCGTGCAAGTAATTCTGTAGCTCTTCAGTACTGTAATGTTCCAGGCTGCCATATTTAGGATAGCTAAATAGAGAGGGTGATTTGAAAGAAATACCCTTCAAAATATGGATCAGAATTGCATCTATATTTATCTGGGACAGGCAATGGAGTTAGTTTGTAAAGAAAAATAACAGTAGTGGTATAAATCTTCAGAATGAAAAGCATTGGGTTTATAGAGATTAGAAAAATGGACTAATTCAAGACTGGCTGTTAGACTTAAGCTTTCACGTAAATATTTCTCAATGAGTTGCCTAGGTACGTGGTTAACTTTAAGCCTGGGAATATTGTCTTGAAGTTGACTCATTTGCTTTGTGCCATTGGAGGTTGTAGGTGCAGGCACGAACCGATGCATCCCTCCAGCTCCTTAACTTTTCAGCCCGCTCTGCCCCGTGGCCGTGGAATGGTTAAACCTGAGCTGTGCAGGTTGCATGGCAGCAGCGAGAGTTCAGGTGTGCTTATACATCGCAGAAACTTCACGTGCAGCGGTAGGACGTGTGGGTTACGTGTAAGGTGTGCTCTGATGAGTAACCCGCAGCGATCAGATAGCTGCCAGCGTCGGCTCCCATTGGGACTTTCATTCTGGAGATGTCAAGGTCTCCTATGAATCTGCACGCTGCTTCCTCACTGCTTTCTCAAATACATCTTCTAAGGGTGCAAGGCGCCTGGATTTCCAGTTGATGTTGTAGAGGAGAATTTCAAGAGGCAAAACTTGATGTAGGAGTTTGAATTTGATTAGGTCATGGACTGAAAGCTTGGGACAGAGGAGGGGAAAGATGAGTCAAGATTTTCTCCTGTAAGGATATATAAGATACTGCTTCAGTCAGCATAGCGCTCGCTGGGGTGTTGTCCAGCACCCAAGAATGTGCCGTCTGCGTGATCGCTGACCCGTGAAGATGTGCCCTGCCAAAGCCACCCTGGGCAGCGCTGAGCTGAGCCCCCCGAAGCCCGGCCAGACCTGGCTGACGAGGGCTGCGTGGTGGTGCCCGGCAGCCGCTCCTCGCGTTGGGCCATCACGTCCTGGCTGGTCAGAGCCGTTCATTCAACATGTGAGCTTTTCTGGCGGTACGGGAACGCGTAGAAAGCCGCATCCGAAGCCAAGGTGCGAATCGCCAGCCAGCATCATCGGTGTAGGACTCGCAGGACCCTCTCCTGTTTCGTCTCCTCACCTGTACCCAGTAACCAACTGCAAGATCCAGATGTGACCAGGCTGCTAATTTGACCTGTTAATATTTGAAATTGAGGTTGCCAAGATAAACATCTGGAAAGGCTTTGGAAATCTGCTGTCCCCTGAGTAGGCGACGTGATTCCCAAGCCCCCTGGAAGCTAGCCACGTGAGGAAGAGGGCTCTGGGAACCAGAGCCAGGTCGTTAGAAGCTTTAGGTCATGGTTGGGCTGTCCGTGGATTTCAGGGAGGTGTAGCTGATTCTAATGCTTTAAAATAGACTTTAAATTAACTTTTTTATATATATATTTTATCTATGTAATTATACACGTAAGACCTTTATACTTCAAAATACACTTACAAAACACAAACAACCCTATAAGTATATTTTATCTTGTGGCTGGCTGAGGATGGTGGTTAAATAAAGCCCAAATCTGGAGTGAAGCTTTTTGAATCCTGTCTGGAGTTTTGGTGTCATTTAATAAGAAGCGGATTCATGGTATGGTTTAGCCCAGGCACCACGTGGTGCTTTTCATTTGTTTTTTTTTCCTCCGCTACCAAGTGCCCATTTTTGTGAAAGCTATGGGAGACCGAGGGCTTAAAGGGCTCTCCTTCTGTCATGTTGATTGGAATGACCCAAGGGATTCAGAGCTCCTGGGGTGGCCGGGCAGAGATGGTAACACCCAAAGAAATATAACATAATATGCAAGCTGAATATACGTGTGTGTCTGCAAAGAGCTGGGAGCCCTGTAGAGGGGCAGGATGTGCTTAGCTGCAGCAGATGGTGGTTTGAGTCGTGGAAGGCACGGCATGAAGGAACTCATCATTTTGCAACCTGGGCTATGAGTAAATACCTGGCTTTCACCTGTAAGTTTTGTCTCTGCTGTAAAGAAGGCCTCATTTTTTGGATACTTTTGTGCTTTTCACTGTGACTGCTTGACCCAGTCAAATCTCACGGCAGAAAAAAAAAAAACCTCTCACTGCTAGATGCAGTCGTACTGCATATGAAGGATCTGGGCCCAAAGCTAGGCTTTGCTATACAAATAACTGGTTTTTTATATATATATATATAGGTAAAAAAAACTCTCTTGCAATCAAAGCAGCCTAAAACCAACTTATTTTTGATGCTGCAGTGTGGTTTCTAGGGCTCTCAGAGAAACAGTGGTGTCAATTAACTGCGTGCGGAAACAACTAAACCATTCAGTGATCACCAGACCACAAGAAAGGGGAAAAGACATGCAGAAGCGTGCTTTACCGGGAGAGAGAAAATGGGGTGATATGGAGCACTGCTGGCTCTTCAGGTGCCTGGGGCAGGGAAAGAATGGCGGGAAGGGGCCTGGGATAGGGCAGAAGGAGCAGCACCCATGGGACTGCGGCCAGGGAAGCAGGAACAGGCTCTGGGCGAGCCAAAATGGTGCTGCCTTGTGTCTGCTGCCTCTGTAGCAAAGTTCCTGCGTGGATGAATTAGACCCATGAATTAATGCTGTGAATTTTTTTTTCCCCCCTCTGTTTGTTTTTTTTCCCCTTTCTTTTCCCACAGAAACCATCAGATAATACTATTGGCACCAAAAGGAAGCACTAGTTTTTCTCTGGTCTGTCTTGCATGTAGTGCTGTGCACTGATTTAATGTCCCTGGCTGTTTACACTAGGTTCTTCTAACACATCTGTCATCACAGTATCTGGGTAGCCGCAGAGGATCGTAGGGCAGTGATACGATTTGAGTTGTTTGCATTATTTACCTGGTGGTTTGTATTATTTACATTCATCACTAATTATGCGAGAGCTTAGAGGCGAGCTGGGAAGGGGGGCTGCGACGCTGCTGACAGCGGGCTCTCGCTGCCGGGCTGGGTGTGCACCAGGAGCTGACGCTTTCGCCTCTGATGCAGCTGGGCACCGTCCCGTCCTGCTGCCAGGGGAAACGGAGGGTGCTGCCACCCCGTCGGTGTGTTTGGAGCTGAAGGCTGCAGGGCTACCATTTTCATCAGTCCCACGACTTAATCCTTCCCATCCTATCATGATACTCGGGCAGGGCCACCCCGCTGTTTTGGTCAGGGATGGGCAGAGGTGATGAACTATGTACCTGGGGATCACAGAGGAACCAGTGTTTTTTGTCATTATGACAAGAAAAAATGCAGGCAATGAAGGATTATTGGGGTCCTGTCCCTCAATAATCACACCCTGCTGGGGCTCTGTCCCACTGCCCTGGTGAATCGGGCAGGGCTGAGGAGGCAGGGAAGTGGGACTCTTAGTTTCATCCTAAATAGAGGTGTGTTTTTTTCACATCCACTGGGGTTTTTAATTATTTTTTTCCAGAACCTCGGATGTGTGTGAGTGCATGGCTGCCTGGCTGGCAGCTTTGCGTCCTGCCTGCCCCTCCTTGCCCAGACTGCTCTGGTGTTCCGGGGTAGCAGTGGCTCAGGGACGTGCAGTCCTGCTGAGTGACCGCTTGCAGTGAAAAGGGGTTTTCACAGCCCCATCCTCTCTTGAACTGGCTGCACGGGGTGAGCCGGGGCTTGGCTCTGCTCAAATCTTGCGTGCCCCGACGCACGGCCGCCAGCACATCCAGCCGCTCTCGGCAGCCTCTGGCTCCGCTCCAGGGGTGGTTTATGCCTCTGCTCTGGCACGAAGCCTCAGCCGAGCACTGAATCGCGGCGTGACGGGGACACGGCCGTGCCCACGCGCCCCCGGGTTGGCTGGGCAGCCGTGGGCAGCGCGGCATGTCAGTGCCCTCCGTCAAGCCAGGTGGGGTTGGCGGGTTTAGCCACACCACGTGCCGGAGGGACGATGTTTGTGCTGTGTGGGCTGAAATCAGTCAGCCAAGGCCAGCGTGAGGAGCTGGTGGGGAACCTCGTGTTGAGGGTAGGCACGTGTGCCCCCAAGAAATGGCACCCCAATCTCTGCTCCCTGGAGACCCGCTATGCCTCGTGGCTTTTCCCGTCCAGGTGGCCCCGGTGCGGCCCGGGGGGATGGAGGGGGCTGGGGACTTGCTGGAGGGCAGCAGCTGCTCCGACCTGGCTCCCGAGGAGCAGCTGAGCCCCCCTAAACCTGCGACCCTTTTCCAGGGTTCCTCTTCCAGGGGGTTAACATGGAGGTGCTATCAAGCTGCAGCCTGCTATGTGTGAGGTTGTCCTGTCCTAGGAGGAGGTCTCCAGTGTCACCCCGATCGTGTGTCAGCCCTGCTCGCTGGCTGGGCGGGTGGGGATGAAGCACCGACTTCACCGGCTCTTGGTCAGGAAGGACGTGGGGGCAGCACGGGGGTCTCCGTAACTTCATTTTGTGCTGGGAAGACTCATCACCATTTTATGGAAAGGGATGTGGGAGCACGATGAGGAACACACCCAGATGCCTGGGCATCTCCAGCGATGGTCCTTGGCTCCCTGCTTATGCCCAAGTCCCTATCCCACGCTGCCCACCTTAGTTTTCCTCATGGAGCTTCAAGCTCTGGCACACTGCTTCCCCCCGGTTGGCCGCAGCCTGCAGATGCTCTGCACTACCCCAACCCTTACTTTTTTTAGTAGGAGGGACCAAAGGTTTGTGGGGAGCCTGCAGTTCCGTGTGCTGTGGGGTGGGCAGGGGCTGGCGGGGGGCGGCTCAGCCCGGGGCAGCTGCTGCTGCCTGCTCGGGCACTTCTTGTCTTTCCTGGCCCCTGGTGCTGTAAGTTAACACCCCGCAGGCAGGTCCAAAGAGGATTTCAACGAAACCTGAAGCTTGGGAGTAGAGATTATGCTGCAGAAGTGGCCTGGGAGACCGTAAAATATGCACTCCCACAATCGCCAAAGAAGGAACTGGATTTGCTCCCTGGGGAGCAGGGTCATCCCTGGTCTTGGTAACAGCGTCTGAGTAGGAACATGAATGCCTTGAAGATAGGTCACCCCCTTCTGTCTCAGCGCAGCCCTGCTGACCCTCCCCGGGACCCTGGGAGTGCCTGCTCTCCCAAAATTTGGTGCCTCCCGGTGGTTACTGCTTATTGAAAACCACATTTAGGACAGATGCTTGTGAAAATGCCCCTGGCACGGCTGTCCCTTCACTTGCATGAAGCAGCACCTGGGCGAGTAAAGGAGCGGGGTGGCCTTTCCAAGGGTGCTCCTGCTCTCCCAGCACCCTCTGCCCGTGCCCCGGGGGGGGGGGCTGGCAGCGGCTTCTGCCCT